TTAGAAGAAAAAAAAAATTCTTATTAATTTTTCTTAATTATTTTATTTATTGAAAAATTTAAAACTTAACTCAAATTCAATAAGCTTCAAAAGTTTTAAACTTTATGTGTTGATGTTAATTTTAATCTAAAAACAAGAAGAATCCTGCAGTAGAGATCACAATGCAAAATATCATTTTCTATATTTAATAAGCTTCAAATTTTTTTAACTTTATGCAGTCATAATTTATGTGTTGTCATTAATTTTAATATAAAACAAAAAGAACCTTGCAATAGAGATCACAATGCAAAATATCATTTTCTATATTGATGTGAATTAGGTATTTTAATTATATATTTATTTCTTAGTTGTATATGTATTTTAATAATCATAAACAAAAAAAAGACTCAATTGGCAACAATCACATCAAAGTTAAATATTATTTTAAAATAGTTTTAGTGTCAATTTTTCTTTTATATAAAAATCTAATTTAAACTAAATTATTTTTATAATAATTCATATTCTAAAGTTCAGCTAATTTTTTTGGAGAAATTTTAAAAATTAAAAATTATCATTTTTAATTATAAATTTATTATATATATATATATATATATATATATATATATTCTTTAAAGTATTGTATATTGCATGAAAAGTTTATCTTGCATAGAGGCAAGGATTATTTGTCACAATAGATTTTTAAGTTGTAAAGATCAAACTTTGCTAGTTTAGTAAAATTTTAGTAACAATATAATAACATAATTTTAAAAATAGATAAATATTAATATAAAATATATTATTTATTATTTTTAAATGCACTAATTATTTGAATAATTTAAATTGCTTTATAAACTGTAAATAAATTGAAATATTTAAGTAAACAAAGAGATAGAGTTTTATTAAAGGCACATACTCATAAGAGCATGTAAATAAAGATTTAATTTAATTACTTTTTTGCATGTAATTCATTATATATAAAAAAGTGTTTGAAGAAAAGTCTAATATTATAGAAATAAAGCTTATATACAATGAATTAAGGCCTTTAGAAAATTATTATAGGAAATATTTAATATTATAAAAAAATATTGTTGGAATATCTTTAACATTTGTATTATTACAATGAATGTTTTTCTTTTTTGTAAAAAGTCTCAAAGGCAACATTCTACAATTATTTTAACCCTAGCATGATACAAAGTCACTTAAAAATAACAACCACCATCTTGAATTAACCTAAATCATTGCTCCTACTTGTTCCTTGCATGACTTCTACACCACCTCAATTGCAACAAATTTATACAATTGCATAGCTAAAGAAGATTCTAAAAATAATAATGAAAAAAAAACTATTTAAAAATATACTCTACTAGCAATATATACATATATACATATATATAAATAAAAACAATTGTAATAGGATAAAGTAATTAATAAAATAAAATCAGCAAATAAAAAATAAAGTAAAGAATAGGTTTTAGTGATTGACAAAAGACAATTAATACTTGATGTCAAATTTCTTTTAAAACATATGCCTACAATCACATCTACATATGATAATGACATCATTGTTACTTGGCTTACATTAACTTGTGACAAAGGTTAAGACAAGTATGTACCAACATGCTAATCCATTGTAAGCAAGAATGTGGTTTTGATTTTAATGTTCTTTAAATAAATTTGCTTAAACTCCTCACATGAATGATTAGTTAGTTGGCTAGTCATAATCCTTGCATCTCTAACCTTGCTTACATGCTTGCTCTTCTCCAATTTCCAATTAATCATGTTTATGTTCATCAATTCAAACATTCATCTATACATCAACATAAATTTTATTTCTTTAATAACGACACATCAATGACTCGTTTGAATATGTTATTTGCAAAGCAAAGGTTGTCCATGAATGTATGCATATATATTTAAAAATGCACAACGCAAGTTGTGTGAGGATGATTTCTTCACAGTCACACTGCACCTCAGCCCCTCCCCGAAGTAAACTTTGGATTCCACAGCGATGCTACCGACCCACAAGCCCACCTCGATTGGCTTCAGCTCTGAGCCATTGAATGGGTCCGAATGTGCTTGCTCATCGTTCTCATGTGCACCCCTTGAAATTTCGGCGGACGCTGCAGAAAATGAGAAACCAGTGATCCAAGTCTCCTTATTCTCAATCCCTGAAGCCTTCGACTCCGGACCACCAGGTGCTCGATCTAATCTCAGCGTGGATCTGCGTGACCAACAACCAGCTCTCAGTTTCAAAGCATGGAAACCACTTGGGATCAAAAGCTCTTGAGCAGCAGCTTGGGAGGGGACCACGCCACGATTCATGGTCAGTGAGCGAACCGAATTCATGGCAGCTTCCTTCATTCAGATTCTGCTTTGACTGTCCCGACATACAACCAAGCTCCTGAAGACAATCCAAAGAGCTTTCTCGGATCGTCGCATGCTTTCTTAAGGAGAACGAACGGGTTTAATTGCGACACCGTGACTATCAGGATCTAACGAACAACTTGCGACATGAACGGCATTCTTGGCTCACATTTGTGTACCAGAAAAAGTGGTACTGATTGTGATATCGTTGCAGAGGGTGCGATGATCTGAAGCCGTGGTGGTGGTAGAGATGGAACCAGCATGAGTAGTGCGTGTGTATCTGCTTGGATGCTCAAGTGGAAGGGATCTGGTTGAATGTGTGACACATCATTCTTCCTGTCGAACACTTCCAGTGGTTTTATCATTCGTTATTGGGTACATGAAATGATTCCTTTTTCATGCGTAAGGGTTGTTTTTTTGAGACAATTTCAAATTGCTGTACTTTTCATGCTGAGAAGTTTATTCCTCTTTGTTTGATTACTTATTTTGATTATTGTAATTATTTTTTAAAATTGATGCCTTTTTTAATACAGTTTCTTTTTAAGTTCTCATTTACGCTGTATTTTGCATAAAAATACTCAGCAAACTGTTACAATTAGAGTTTAAAAGCACCTTCTTTTCCAAAAAAAAATGTCAAGATGTTTAAGTATGCAAAATTTCCAGTTTCAACGATAAATATAATTTTCGTCTCGTTATTTATTTATTTATTTATTTATATTTTTATATATATATATATAGGGAGAGAGAGAGAGAGAGAGAGAGAGAGAGAAAGATGCACTTCATATATATTTATTTTAACATTAGATCTCTGTGGAAACTTATCAGAAATCTAGGTTTTCGTTCTATCAAACTTATCAACAAAACATTTCAAAACTCATTTTCAAATACTATATTTTTTTTATTGTTTTTATTTTATGGGATTGTTTTGCATCCACTTATCAATCTCATGTTCCTAAAATAAGCACGAGTTAACAAGCACTGCAAAAGGGAAACGGCAAAAGAAAATAAAGCTCAGTGAACCTATTTCCCAAAGAGATAAAACACCGACTCCTCTGCAAGAAACGCAACAATCCTTCACCGAACTCACCCAAACCTTGCCCAAAAGACTATCCTGCTAACCAAGATTAGTGCTTCTAGGTACTTTCCAATCCGCCTTCCGTGTAATAATCGTGTTATTTTGTTATCTGGTCGCTTGCGCTGTCTCCCTGGATGAGCTTGTGGACCTCCAGAATCAACATCTGATTAGTAAGTCACTTGCATCTAATTATAGACCACTCTTCATGCCTGCGCCTAATGCATACCTTCATCTGCCTCTTTCTTCCAGTAGGTATTTTGAGTTGAAGCTTGGGAAGTAGTAATGAGGTTATGTTTTTGTTTTTGCCTTGTTTTGATTGCTCTTGTGGAGGCACTTAGTTGAGTTGATTGTTGAGAATTCATGTTGAGAAATCTGATCTCCTTCTAATGGCACTCATTGTCTGTTGTCTGTCCTCTACAAGAACGAGACCAAACCAGTTTCGCCTGATGAAAGTCTCTGATGTTGTGAAAGATATCCCGTTTTTTTGATGTAGAAAAGTACACAAAGTTCACCAATAACAATGACAGTCATGTATGAAAATTTGGATGCTTTTGGTGATCAATGCGTCATAATTTTTTTTGATTGCATTAATCCAAATTCATATCCATCTATCCATTTGTCTATACTCTTGTTAATGGAAGGTAATGAGGAATCTATTTTCCGTGCATTGCTTTTTGGAGTACCCTTTGACACTCTCTGGAAGGTGTACTTTCTCTCCAATATCTACTAATTCTTTCATTTCAAGGAAATTCTCGTTCATTATCGATGAATGATTGAAAATGACTATTGTCGTAAAACCAATCAAATTAAATGTTGAAATACTAACTCTTGTATAAATCTCCTTTTTAGAAATAAATGATCAAGTTTCAGTCTAAAAAAACATGAACTACTTAAAAAAGAAGCGAAAAAATCATTAGATGATTACAGAAACCAATTTGAACAAAATCAACCATAATCACTTTTAAAAAATACTCTACAATGTTAAACAGTAACAGTGCTACCTTATTAAAATATAATTACTTAAAGCACAAATATAACATAACAAAATAAAATCAGCATTTTGAAGCCATTGAGTTACGGGACACCCACTTTCAAGCGGCATTCTACATTTTCCTTGGATTGATGGCAGCATTTTTTGAACACGTGGAATGAATGTAAAGATATATACACACACAAATATATATATATATATATATATATATTCCAAAGAAAGGAATTCCTGTGTGAAGCTTTGACGACAAACACGTCGCGAGGGGAATTCGTCGTGAGCAGGAGAATTATCAGACACTACAATTGCAGCCGCGCCACCCATTCACACTCAGCAAAGTGAAGGGAGTGAATGAAAGCGAGGAAGCGAGGATTCATGCACATGATGGGGAGCCATTGCCGTGGGAGTCGCGCCCCACCATGTCGTGCCTTCACAGTCAGACAGTCAGAAGAGGGCACCAGAGCCACATCCACAGCCAGCACAGGTCCAGTCAGATACTCTGGTTTTGATTTTTTTTGTTTCTGTTTTTTGTTTGTTTTTTGTTTTTTTTTTCCTGATTTCCGATCCGATTATGACTAAATATCATGTAAAAATTGCTGCTGTCACTGCTCAGATTCGTCTCCGCTGTGGATTCGATGCATGCGAATTTCGCCGCCCGCCCTTGCTAACTTTAGCCACCTCTGCGACCAGCTCGTACTTTCGTCTCCGCACGTACGCAACCAATCACTCCGTCGGTGTGTGTGTTTGTCTCTTTCTCCCTTGTCTGTATTTACCCATTCTCTTTGTCTGCTTGATGAATGCCTACTCTTGCTTATGCTTACCGACAAGGCGTGGTGGTTTGCAGCTGCTGAGTTTCGAGGTTGGTACCCACCTCAGCTTCGGTGGTAGGAACGTGTTGCCGCACTGTGTAAGGGTGGGGACGTAGCTTGGAGGTGTTGGGAGTGCAGTTGTCTGAGGAGCTCGTGGGTGAGCTTGGCCAGGGTAGAATTCATTCGTAGGGCTTGACGTGCTGTCCACGGAGTTTGCCGCGGACCCAGTGTCGGTGTCTGATCGGAGATGGCGTGCACTAAGACTTTGTCAGACAGCGGCAATGGCACTGTCAGCGACTCGGTCTGAGTTGGCGAGCCTTCTGATTTTGTACGCCTCCCTCACACACTCTTCGAGCCTTCGCTTTCTCTTGATGAAGAAGAACACCGAGTCGTTTACACACGATGCAATTACTCTTGACGTGGCTAGTTCCTTAATCTGCTTCTGTGCGGTGAAATCAGTCGTCTCTTGTTGACGAGGTGGGCACAGGGTTTGCACTTTCTTGTGGGTCAACACGGAGAATTAGGCAGTTGGAGATACTGGCCACCTTTTATGCTTTTTTATTTGCTACGTCAGCAAGTGATCAGAAGTGCATGCATCGACTTGCTAGAGCTCAGGTACTCAAGTGATTGCAACTAGTTTGACCGCGACGAAGGCTGGGAATGCTTTTGGTGCCTGATTGGAACCGCCATGGTGTGCATGCGAGGATTGCTAACCCCTATCTGCTAAAACTTGAGGAATCTGTCTTCATCAAGGCCTTGAGGTACACCTTGTTGAGGGATACATACCAATTATTTCTGGAACGTGGGTCCAGTTCGGAGTTCGTGTTCTGTTAGCGAAGCATCTCTCTTTCAAGGGGTATCAGTTTCGTATGTTTGAACTCGTCATTGCATTAACTTTAAGGTGTGTGTGTGTGTTTTGTCGTCGTCGTAGTCGTCGTCGTCGTCGTCTTTATTCTGGTGTTTGCTGATATCTTTGAGGAACTATGGAGGGGAAATGTCTGGTGTTGAGTGAGACTTGTTCAGCGGTAATTTAACGCAGGGGCGAGGTAGAACTGCAGGTGAGGATAAGATGGACATGTACGCTCAAGAGGCCAAGCGAAAAGGGATTTACACTTACGACGCAGCATGGACGATCTACGGGATGAATTGGAGCGTGCGAAGGGATAGCAAGTTCCGTCTCGCTGTCGGAAGTTTTATTGAGGAGTACAGAAACATGGTGGAGATAGTGCAACTGGAAGACGAAACAGGAAAGTTTCAAGTCGATCCGAAGCTGTCGTTCGACCATCCATACCCGGCGACCAAAATCATGTTCATTCCGGACAAGGAGAGCGCGAAGCCCGACCTGATGGCCACAACAAGCGACAACCTCCGCATTTGGCAGATTCACGAGGATAAAGTTGAACTCAAGAGCCTGTTGAACAATCGACAAAATAGAGATTACTGCTCGCCCCTCACGTCGTTCGACTGGAACGAATTCGACATGCGGAGGCTGGGAACGAGCAGTATTGACACGACGTGCACCATCTGGGACATCGAGAGAGGCATTGTGGACACTCAACTCATCGCCCATGACAAGGAGGTTCACGATATCGCATGGGGTGGAATCGGCGTCTTCGCGTCTGTGTCGGCGGACGGCTCCGTCCGTGTCTTCGACCTCCGGGATAAGCAGCACTCCACCATTATTTACGAGAGCCCACAACCAGGCACACCGCTCCTCCGCCTGGGATGGAACAAAGACGACCCTCGCTTCATGGCTACAATACTAATGGATTCGTCGAAAGTGGTCATATTAGACATTAGGTATCCGACGGTCCCGGTCTCGGAGTTGCAGAGGCATCAAGCTTGTGTGAACGCCATAGCTTGGGCTCCACACAGCGCCTGCCATATATGCACAGCCGGTGATGATTCGCAGGTAATGACTCTACATCTGATCCCTCACGACTTCACTATATCTCTTCCACTCTTTCAAGATAGCTGCGAGTAAGCGTTAATTCAATCGATCACTCGCAAGCACGTCGTCTCAAATTCGTGATGCCGTTTAATATTGTTACATTGCAGGCTCTCATATGGGATATGTCAGCAAAGCCAGTGGACGGCGGATTGGACCCAATTCTGGCATACACCGCAGGAGGAGAGGTGAACCAGGTGCAGTGGTCTGCGTCGCATTCCGATTGGGTTGCCATAGCATTTGGAAACAAGCTCCAAGTCCTCCGCGTGTAGCTCGCCCCCTTCGCCACCCACCCACTTTGAAACCCTAATTTATCCTTACTGTCCACATTTTTGAAGAATCACAACACCGAATAGGACCTAACGATTAGTTTGAGAATGCAATACCTTCTTTGATTCTCACCTACAGCCCCGCCCTGTGGGTATTAGGGTTGTTACAATTTGCAGAGGACTGCCTGAATATGGTTTGTAGGCAAACACCAAATCGTTGTTTCCAATACTTCCCCGCACCAGGACCGTCTCGAAAGACATGTATAGGTGAAGTCTAATGGCTCGCACAACCCAGGTTGAGATGTAGATGAGGACTAAGTGACTAATTCTGAGCAATTTAGGGGGAGGTGTGTAGGATTCTAGCACTCTGACCTTGTAACAATGCCGCCCTGAACACTGACTGCAACCCTTGTAGAGCTGCTACCGTGACAATCTGTGAGGGAACCCTAACCCATGTCACCAGCATTCTGCTCCTCCATTGGAATACCCACATAGCCATTTTTGTGTGTTGTGCTCAAGAATGATTGTTGGGAGGGCGTAAGATGTATTGGAAAGTTGTCTTGACTACTGTATAACAAAAACAGACCAACATGGGAGGTAAAGGATTAGTCTTTAGAATATGATTATACCCACCGTTCAAAGTTCTTGGTTTCATCTCTTGGTACAACTATTTTTAATGGGTATTTCTTTTTAATGTTAATGACAATAGATGTTCAAGTCAATTTAGGAATGATAGCCGTATCCATTATCTAAGTTTCTTTGTTGTATAGGTGGTATTTTATTCAATGTTTTTTTAAAAAAATAAATTTTTTGCTTGTAGATGTTTGTAGTCTAAATATGATAAATAAACATACTTTTGGCTTCAAAAAAATACCATAATTTTATCATAAACATTGATTTTTTGCCTTATTGTTTTTTGCAAGAGCTATTAAATTTCGTTTGTATGTGTATTTGTTCTTCAATTTTTGGTTGTTATTATACATATATTAGTTGTCAATTATATAAAATAACAACTAATCTCAAAATATTATGGTTCTTAAAAGTAGCCATGTAGACTTCTTATTAGTTAGTAAATACAAAAGCAAAATTAAGACAATCATCAATATTATTAATGCTTTTTAGACACTTTAATCTTTGTTTAAGATTCTTTAGTCTATTATGCTCAAGAATAACCACCCTAGTATCTTCCTATCTTACAAATATACTTATTCTTTTACATCTTTTTCTTCTTATATATATATATATATATATATATATATATATGTACAAATAACAAATTTAAATATACATCTTTGCCATATACATTAAAGTATTAATATAATTTTATGATTTACATTTTTTAAGACGAAATTTTATAAACTAAAACAAACATCCTTTAATCTACAAAATCAAATTTAAAATATATATATAAACACATTTTGCCAATATTTTTTAAATTTATTTTGTATGTATACATAACTGATATTTTTAATTAAATGTAAATTTAAAATAAGATATTAATAATTCTTCATTAAAAATTCAAAATAGAACAATAAATATTACAAGTTTTGAAAATGTGGATAGTAAATATTTTAAAACTAGTTTTAAAAAATAGATATACTTAAAAAGTAATTGGATAAAATAATATTTTAAAAAATAAGTCAAAAAATTAAATTAAATATGTAGTAAAAAATAAATTATGCATATTACATACAACAAAAAGAACATAGTAATTCTAATTAAATAAATTTGAAGAAAATTTCAATCTTAATTAATTGTATAATACATGTTAAGTTGCCATTGCTATTATTGCCAAAAACAAACGTTATTTACTAAAAGAAAGAAATATATTAAACTTTAATTTATTAGTATAAAATTTTCTTTATGTTAATACTTTTATTTTTCTAATGAATTCTCATAAATCAAGATTTTTATTTTAAATTCAAATACAACTAAAAAATGTTCATAAAAATTAAATGCTTTTAAAGAATATATAATCTAGAAGTATCCTTTATAAGTATAGCACTTTTTAATATTTATTGTAGAAAGTACAAAAATTAATTATTTATTTATTTATTTACAATAATAAAATAAATAGGTAACTAAGTTAATTGTTAAAATATGTGTATTTTTAAAAATTAGTGAAAACGATTTCACCTATTATAATACTATTTTCAACAACTATCAAAAGCATAGTTAAATGAATAATGTCTTCAACAACTATCTTAAGTACTTATTTATTTATGAAACATACTGTGAATTTGAAGATAACATCTTTATGTATATGTTACTTCAAATAAAATAAATATAAGGATCTGAATAAAAATTATAAAGATCTTGCCTAAATTTGTTTGTGTCAGACCATTTATAAGTATTTTAAAGAACTTGTGATACTTGTAAGACTAGCATGTGGTAAAACAAATATAAAAATAAAAATAGAAACATTGTTAAATCAAGTAGTTGATAATCATGAGTTATAATGATTATGAGATTTCTAAATAAATACATGTAGCAATCAATAGTAAATATAGAACAAAAAGGGATGAAGATTTTGTCTTCTTTTATAAAGTAATGAAGTGTTTTGACCACTAAGATTTTTTAAAAGGTCTATTTTACTTAAGTAAATAGAAGTAGTTGGAAACATGTAGGTAGATAATAGGTAATAGATAGATAGTAGGTAGATAGAAAGTAGGTAGAAACATGTAGGTAGATAGTAGGTAGTTAATAGGTAGATAATATCTTCTTCAAGAAACATAGAATTTTAATATTTTCAACTCTCAATTATTTTGTAGAAATATTATCTTTATTTTAGAATAAATTGTAAGTTTTTACAAGAAAATATATCATATCAAGTAAAATAACACACACACACACACACATATATATATATATATATATATATATATACATACATACATATACACATGTGTTTTTTTATTTACATGATTTATAACATTTTTTACTTATGTTATACTACTATAATTATATAATAACTTAAGCATATTTTAAAAAATTGTTGTCAACTTTTAATATATAGATTTTTTAAAATTTAAATAAAACTTAATATGCAATTTTTTTTGATGTCATAATACATAAAAATAAAAACAAAAAAACGAATGACTCAAAATGTTAAACAAATATGTTCCAGTTCATGCAAACCACAAAGGTTCGAATACAACATTGTCGGCATGTACACATGGCATCTACTTTGCCTCGACAGGGTATATCAGCGGAAAGGGAAAGGAGTCAGATACCCGGCATCTCAAACGACAGGTATAAACACGGGTATCAATAGAGGCACCAGCGGGTAACGGAGTCCTTGCATTCAAGCACCTGAGGCCTGTGAAGTGAGAGTTTTCGATGCTGTGATGATGGCTGCGATTTCCACTTTGATCGTGCTCATGCTCGCGCTTTGCGTCACCTGCGCCGATTTAGCTGCAGCTGCAGTTCATTACACAGGCATCTCGGTATTCAGCGCTTCCCATCAATTTTTGTGTCGAATGTTTGGGGCGCTTGAGCGTTTTGGGTTTGGTTTGGAGTGAGTTTTGGACTGCAGGTTCGGAGAGAGTGTGTGTTGCGCGTGCAATTGTAGTTTACAGACATCGGCTTGTGGATTAAAATGCAAGTGAGGTTTCATTTTCTTCTTTCACCTTTCGAGAATTGTGGGTTTCGATTTTGAACTTGTGAATAGTTCACTGGGAAATATCCCGGTGGCATGCAGCTGGTGGCTACCTATTCCACGCCTCCACCGCGAATTTACGCTCCAACTCCAATCTCGAAGGCTTCTCTTTATTTTCGATGTCATGTAGAATATTCTGGTGCTGCACACATCATGTGACGTGCCGATTTTTTTGTCTGTGCTTTTTTGATGAGATTTTAGCGGCATTCTGCAATTTCTTGCATTCGGGAACTACAAACCCTATTTCACGATCTAGTGAAAGTGGTGGCCAAGATCGTGGGATAAAATTGGATACTCTTGGCCAATCCCGTTCACATTTAAGTTTAACCTTGTTCACCGATTATTTCTAGTACTGTTTCTCGACCATCACATCTAATTAGCTGCTGTGTGAAATTGTTTTCAAATGATATTTTCAATGGTTATATGTTCATTAGATTATCGACATCTGCCAGCTGTTTTGACTTGAAGTCTCAGGGGATTTCTTATAACTAGATACCATACTTAAAAACCATCATGTGGTGTGATTTTGTCATGAGAATTCGATTAGAGTTGGTGTGGTGTTGGAACCTTACTTGGTCGCCTGTGTTTTGGTTGTTTATTGAACTTTTAGATCACTGTTAGTGTAAATCTTGAATGATCACTGTTCTGTGCAGGACAAGGAACTGGGAGAAAGAAAGGTGCGGTGCTATCAAGACATTGATAAGTACGAGAGTTTCTTTCCTACAAGCTGTTTATTCGATCTACCAGCATGGGTGTCGTTTTTGCACCGCTTTCTTATTTTTTGCTTGTATAATTTTATTTCTGGGAATGACATCTATTAGAGAACTTTATATTCTGTGCAAGCTGCAAGTAGCAACACCTCTATGCATTTCACAGAAAGTGTTGACAACAATTGCACAGTATGTCTAGAAGGCGCACTGGTTAGGTACTGTCTAAACAGTTTTAGCTTATATTCATTTATCAAAGATAACAGCCGTTCTCGGCCCAGAATTTCTTTTGGGTGTTTGATAGTGGCAATGACTATTGTGTTTGGGAATGAGCAGTGGGCTTTGGGGCAACTCGTGCAAAGCATCACCGACTGAAAAGGAGAATTGCGCATTGATTTGTGTTTCTCCCACCTGCTATGATTCTGTTTATGGCAGTGACCCTGTAAGCTTCCACTGCCTATGTGTGACATCAGATTCGAATTGCAATTGAACAGTTAGGGCATCTTCCGAGTTTATTAACTAGTAAGGATCATGCTAATTTTTTCGATTTGTTGAGGCCTGCAATCATGTACACCGGTACATGAGGGTTGATTAAGAACAGGGATTTTCAGCATGACATTTCGATCGGAGCTCTGGCATTAGAAGGCTGATATAGTTTGTTTGAAATATGCGTTGTATCTGCTTTACAACATATAAAGGTTGTGATTGTTTGTAATGCTTACAGGGATTCTGTGTGAGGAATCGTGAGATCTCTTGCTGAACTGTATTTAACTTTTTTGCATGAAATGTGATCTTAATCCAACATGATATAACTCATTCTTTGACTCGGTTGCATGTGCCCATGCGGATGACGGCTCTTTTTCTTTGTGGCCTCTATTCAGCTAGAGGAAGGCGAAGTAGATCTGAGAAGAGGGCGAGAATTCAAAGCTTGCATTCGTGGGTAATGTTATTGTATCCTGCTTCCCCTTGCTTGAAAGTCATTCTACATTTTGCAATAAAGCAGGTATTGTTCCTTGCATTTTTGAAGAATCATGAGTGTATATGCGGACCTTCAGGTTTCAAATCACACGTATTTTGTGGTTAATCTAAGGAGCAAAATGTTTGTTTTTTATTACAGGCAAATGCAGGGTGACAGACTGGCAAGAGCCAAGAGCATTGCGTTTTAATAGTAAGAGGATATTGGATACTTCAAATCACCTGCAGGTGCCTTCTCTGGTTTAAAAGATTAGAGTGTGCATTTGTGACATGTAAAATCGCATCCTATTATGCTGTATTTAGCTGGTCTTACACTTTTTGTGTTTGACCCTTGTTACAAGCTCACAGTTTCACCGATCTCTTTATGATGCTGTGCTTTTTTCACAGTTTTGAACTGACGTTACCTGTGCCTTTTGGTTACCTTGCATCCAACTGCTTTGAGTTATTTGTGATCTAATTCAACATTTCAGATCAGAATCTGTTGCGCGCAAGTATTCAACCATGTTTGAAACCATGAAAGGTACAATTAGCATCCAAAACTAGGAATTCTACGCCAACTCATGTGCAAGTCAACAATAATGAAATTCGACGTCGCCGTGTCCAAAGCATTGCAGCTGTTTAATTCAGTTCCTAAAACAAATTTCAGTGGGATCCCAGTGAAAAACTTCATGAGATTGAACAAGAATCTATTCTCTTGCAAAAAGTTCATGAGTTTTGTAAAGCAACTAGACGCATGGTTTTGAACAATAAATGTTTGAAGTTTAAGTAAATTTAGATTATTAGCATGTGGCGCTTATCAAAGAATAAATAGATAGAATTTCCAACGAATTTTCAACTTACAAAATTCAAGAAAAATATTGACTTTGAAATTATGTAATTGGATCAAAGAAAATTTTGAGTTTATTCGTAAATTTAATTGCCTGGTTTAATCCATGTGTGTGTGTGTGTATATATATATATATATATATATAGAAATATAAGGAATTGTCAAATCAACTCACCTGTTTGCTAAATTGATCCACCCATCATTATTATTAGTATGGTTGATTAATTTCAAGAATTAGTATGTTGAGGGTTGGGGGCAAATAAAAATGGGTGGTTTGATTTAGCAAATGGAATGGGTTGATTTAGCAATTTTCTTTATATGTTGATTTATGTCACATACTAATATTAAATGTTTCAGCAAGCAGGAAACATCTATTTAATATTTAAAATAATAATTGAAAATAGTAGAAATCCAAAAGATATTATATATATATATAACTATTATATCATATCATTATTTTAAGATTGTTTATTGTATGAAAGTAAAAAATTAAAAACCACAAAAGGCATTAATTAACTTATTTGATGAAAGGCTCAACATGATGAGTTAACTAGATATTTTATAAATCAAAAGTTAAAATCTTCATCTTTGACACACTAATTAAACATTTAATGAATTTGGCTAAGATAAAATATAATTGTTTTTTTAATATAATTTTTTGTGGAAAATATAAGTAAATAATTTTTTAATAAAGATATCCAACTTTTTCTTTTCTTTTCTTTTCAAAAATTAAGCAACCAAAACCAATGAAATTCTAGTATAATTTGGTTCTATACATCTAATTATTTTTGTAAAAATAGGGGAAAATATAAAAATAGACAAATAGATTATAACACAATGATCTAGGTAGGTTCAATTTTGTACTGTCTAGTAATATGGTCTCAATGAAAATCATATTTTTATCTTTTTCATTTCAAAAGTTAATTTTTTTCAGTTGGCTTGATTGATTAAATGACTTGGGGCATGCTTTTTGCAATACATATATATATATATATATATATATGTGTGTGTGTGCGTGTGTGTACTCATTATGTATTTTCAAATGTACATTGTAGATTATTCAGTGTAGAAATTAAATTGCTCAATTCCAGTGGCTTGGTTGTACATTATTCAAAATTCATTTCAAATTCTTATTGTATTATCTTATAATAAATAGAATTGGTGGATTGTATTTATATAAATAACCAAAAAAACAGAATAAAACAAAACAACAATGTGTGAGTACAGCAAATAGAAAAAATATATTAAGTGTCAAATATTACTTGGCAAAGTTGAGGTTTGTAAAAGTATAAATAAAAGGGGATATGACCCCTGGCGTAAATCATGAATTTTGACACTTGGTACTCAAATTGTATTATGTTTGATGCCTGTAAATTATATTCTATCCAAATTTTACTCCAAAGTATTCAAGTTTTGAATTTTTTATTGAATATATATATATATATATATATATATATATATGTGTTCATACATGCATACATATATCAACTGAAAACTTTCATGAAAGTTTAGAATTAAAATAATGAAATGATGTTTCATTGAAGTCATTTGATTGGAATTGAATATTTATATACAGTATCTCCATTACATATATATATATATAGTGTTGTTGTAAAGTTCTTTTGAAATGATCTAGAAAGTTTGATTTCAACTTTTTTGCCAGATTCAAATTTGATAAAATGTGTGTATTTTTTATTTGTCATTTTAATCAGATATATATATATATATATATATATATACACACACACACACACACACATATATATATATATATATATTCAATGTAAGTATGATTAAACACTTAAGAATTCATTAAAGAATCTAAGAAATTGTTAAACAAGGTACACAAGTCTCTAAATCAGCAACATTTTCATGTATTTAAAGATAAAAAGAAGAAAAAGATTAATTTTATTTGTTTACAGGGTTTCCAAACTAAAATCCTTCAAAATAACAGAAATCAAACGCTATATGCAGTCATAGATTTCATCAGTATGAAATGCTCAAAAATATTAACCATGTTACAACCAGATATAAATGTGTAGTTTGACAAAAATATCAATAAATTACAAAATTCTGTACATATAGACACGTTACATACTTTAGAACTTTGATTATTTCAGAAAATGATAAATTTTTAAAATTATTTATATTTACCTTGTTACAAAATGGCCTTGAAGTAGAATTCAGGAAGGAAGGAAGGAAGGCAGGATAATGAATTCAAAAGGGGGAGATTCTTGCAGAGGAGCGCCCAGCCAACGAGGACCAGCGTGGCAGAGAAAAGAGATCCGACGTGGCATTAGTAACATTGGAGGAGGGTTTAGTAACAAACTACCGAGGAAACGCAGAGGAAGAAGCAAGAATGAAAGAAAGGGTGGAAAGAAGAAAGAAAGGGTGGAAAGAAGAAAGAAAGGAAAGGAAAGGAAGGAAATAGAAGGGAAGAGCAGGAAGAAAATTGAGAGGGAAAGAGGAGCATCGACGGGGGTCGCGCGTCGCATCACCGCACTTCCCTTTCGTTGTCTGTTGCTGTTGTTGTTTGTTGTTGCAGACAACGGGAGGTCGGACTCCGCCATAGCCAGTCAGTCCGTTCTCACTCTCTCCTCTCCCCCTCCCCCTCCCTCCCCTGTTGCCCTGTTGCCCTGTTGCCCTTCGCACCGGTGGATGCGTCACCTCTCGTGTACCTCTCTCCATGGCACAGCAGCAGCAGCAGGCCGGCCCTCCTGGCGCAGGCCGCGGTCGCGGTATGACACTCCCTGCTTGGATGACAGGTATAGTCCGTTTTCTTCTTTCCTTTTCAATTACGTTCCTAAGTAGGGTTTAGGGTTTGTCCTTGGGGATGGCATGGGAGAAGGCGTGATCCGAGCGCACGGTCGGGTTTTTTAAGCATTCAGTTTCTGGAGTTGCCCGGGAGCTTGTTTGAAGAAGGTGTTGAGGAGGTTAGCATGTGCGGGCCGCGTCTTGGTGTATTTTTCTGCGAGTTCAGCGTTTTTTCAGTTCGTTGTGTGATGCTGGTAGCGCTTGGCAGCATATATATATATATATATATATATATATATATTTTCCGGATGATTTCCAGGGCACGCATTGGTGGCTGTAGAGCGGGAGAACTTTATAGCTCTGCTTTCTTTCAGGCAGAGATTCTGATCGTGTAGAGGATGTTGGAAGTCTTTGTTGGTCAATGTTGTGCAATTTCAGAACTATTAGTGTGCGTTGATTGGGGGACGTATTGAAGCATTTCTTCGGAGATGCCACTCTGATCAAAGTGGTGTCCATGATAGTGTAGACTTTTACTAATTTATTTCTCCAAAAAGCGATGGGGAGCATTTAAACTTCGTTACTTAGGGTGCTTTTTGGTGATCAATGGTAACACATTTTTTTTTACGTGTCAAAGCAGTGTGTGAGCATTCGACCATCATTTTCTGCTCGATATTCATTCTTTATTTCTTTGATTGTGGTTTTTGAGCACAAACGGAAAACTCACGATTGTTGCCCATGCAATGTATGGTCAATGGTGAGTTGGGAATCAGGTGGCCCACCGTCTCCAGGAATGCCGCCAGGCGGAGGTCCACCGCAAGGTCACCTTCAAACTAATCCAGGAGCTGTTGGAGCTATGGTTCGTATTTCCTGCTTTAATAACTACTTACCATGTGTTTCTCTCTGCTAAAAGTATATCGCTTTGGAAGTACGTGCCTTCAGTAGATAGACTGTTATTGACAGCCTGCTTTGTTTTTTTGTTTTTGTCTGTCTGTTTCAACAGCCTCCAAGGATGATGGGAATGGGTCCATCTGCACCGACCTCCACTTTCCAGAGTGCACCACAAATGCCGGTATGGTTCTTGCTGTCAGTACATTCTTTCTTAATGCTTCACTTCGCTGATACCAATTCCAAGGGTTGGATAAGCATATACCTCCTCGAATTGCAATTGTGTCTAAGTTTTTTTACCTCTTTTTTCGACCAAACTTGTAGTATCGGCCTGGAGGCCCTCCTCAACAGGGTCAGCAGTTCATGGGTCCTGGTGGTCAGCAATATCATCCTAGCGTGGGTATGGGTCCTCCACAACAGCTAGGCATGCCTCCTAATATGCAAGGGATGAACCCCCAACAACCTCAACAGTTTTCTACACGGCCACCAGCACAACAATCTCAGGGCCAACCATCATCACAAAGCTCGGGGATGCCATTTGGGGCGCAGCCAAGGCCTATATCTTCAACACCTCTACCTCCCCAGGCTCAGCAGCTGCAGCAGCAGCCTTCATCACAGCAACAGCAACAGCAACCTGTGCCGCCACCTTCTGGCCCAGGCAATCATGCATTGCAACCAGCATCTTCTTACCCTGTACGTAAACTGGACACAAAGTGGGACGCTGGCTGAGTTTTGAAATCTGCAGCTTCTATATGTATTTCCTCCCTCTTTTTTCGTTGTTTTTGCAGATTTTTTGTACTGTTAGGAAGTCTATGTGTGTCATATCGTAGCTGATGTACTTTGTGCGATTGGTGTCAATCATAATGGTTTTTTTTCTGATTTTGTTCAACCCTGTGTGGATGCGCAGCAGTTCTCGTCTACATCTTCCTTTTCGCAACCTGCAGTATCGTATGGCTTAGCTCCCCCTTACCAAGTTCCAACTCAAATGCAAATCCAGCAACCACAGCCTGGCAGTCAGCCGTGGTCTGGGGTTGGAGGGCAAACTAGCTCTCATTCTGCTTCATTGCAATCTGTACAACCTCCACCATCATCTGTAAGTTAAAGATCCTTCCAGCTAAATTTTATAACCTGCTTCGTCCTATTTAATCTTTGATGTGCGTGTTTTTGGAGTTTGGACTTTACAAGTTTCTATGCTTTAATATTCTGGTTTTATTTCTCGTAGGGGCTTTCGATTGCTGTTCCTTCACCTGGTGCGGCGGATTGGCAAGAACATGTAGCTCCTGATGGTCGTAGGTATGCATGTGCCGAATTTTTCATTCAGTTCGCATTTATTTGATTAAGTCACGTAGTCATCTAGACATGGATAAGTGTTCTCCTACTTTGTGAGCTGCTTTATAGATATTCCCCTCTGATGGTTTTTCAGATACTACTACAACAGAAGAACTAAGCAATCTAGTTGGGAAAAGCCGACTGAGCTAATGACTCCCATTGAGGTGAGAATGGCTCATGCATGTCTTACTTTGTGTAAATGCTCCTTAAGTTTTGCAGAGTCACGTCTTAAACTTTTCTCTCGATTTTGATAGTGGGATTTCTTGAGCATGGAGTTACCCAGACATTAGCTTATTAATACTGTACGATTTCTTTCAACTCAACTTTGGTTTGCCATGTGGGATGAATTTACAGTAGCATATTAGGGAACGAAACGTCTTCAATTAGTTTGAGATCAAAAGTAAGGTTTTGAGATCTACGGTGCATGTTCAAATTGACTTTCGCATCTATGATAATCCCCTTGAATTGCTGTCTCCTTCACAGCGTGCAGATGCCTCAACTCCATGGAAGGAATTCACAACAGCTGATGGCAGAAAGTAAGTGTGAATATTGTTGATATTCTATCTTGAATTTTGGGGAGTGCCACTAGAGACAACTGTCATTTTGCTTGCTGCTTGTGTTCTTGGTGGTATCTGGTCCGGCATCTTGATTGTGTAGTTGGGAGTAAATTTTCTAATATTTATACCCTGTTTGCGCCAGGTACTATTATAATAAGGTGACGAAGCAGTCAAAGTGGACTATGCCAGATGAGATGAAGGCATGCAACCCCTCTTTTCTTTGCTAAAATTCCTTTTATTCAAGAATCTGCATTCCTCTTTATTTTATTCTATTATTGTTTTATTTATCATTTGCTGCTGCATGTAGTTAGACAAAAGTAAAAATTGCAATCACACGGTTGTGGTTTCACAATTTCATTAGGAGTATGCTTAGGCAGTGTGACGTTTTGATTTAGCTAGCGTTCTGTAGTTGTCTTCAAATTTACCGAGAGCGCAGCTGCATACGTATATGTACTGGTAGTTGTGCTTTATGTCCAGGAAAAGACTAGGAGGGATCACTTGGTGATGTGTCTGTCTGCGGGATATGTGCAGCTTGCCCGGGAGCAAGTAGAGAAATCCGTGGGGCCCGTGTCCCAGGCTGCGGTACTTACTCCCCCAACATCGGTAAAACAGCCAGCCTCTGCAGCTTTGCCTCTCCCTCAGACAACAATTTCAAATGTAGCTGCTAACTCTTTGACGTCTGTTCTTCCGGGTGCTACAACGGCAAACGCGAAGTTGCAGTAATATTCGTCTACTCACTGACTCACAGAATACGGGTGATAAATAAATTGTGGTGTTATTTTGCGTAATATCATGTTCTTCAATTTCTGTTTGTTCTTTTGCTATTTGTTTTTCTTGTTGATATTCGCTCTGATCTTTTTTTCCACTTCAATCAGAGTGGCGGGTGATGCAAAGAAAGATCTGAAGGAAGAGGTCATGAACGGAACCTCTGCTCAAGATTTCGAGGTATGCACTCGTTTACGTATGAAAAGCTTCTACTGTATGTGGGATATGCTATGCCTTGAATTTTTCCTGACTGTACATAGCTGCCACGTCAAGGTTGCGGGCATCTCATGTCAAGTTATTTTATTTTATTTTATTTTGTGTGTGTGTGTGTAGTTTTATGTTTTCTCGGCACAAAGATAAAATATCTTATGTTCGCTAATTGCTAACAAGGTGTTGCAGGAGGCAAAGAAGGTCATGCTAGTTACCAGCAAAATTAACATCTCTCCCGTCTTAGAAGAGAAACCCTCTCTTGTTTCCGAGGAGCCACAAACCTATGCCAGCAAGACTGTAAGCTTTGATATTTTACCACCCTCTGGGCTGCTGATAAGCTACATCTAATGTCTTTATGTAGTATTTTTGTGATCTTGATGCACTTAGACATAGTTCTGTGCCATCTTGATAGAAGGTATATGTTTGTTGGCAGGAGGCCAAGAATGCATTTAAGGAACTACTTGAGTCGGTCCATGTCGAGGCAGACTGGACATGGGAACAGGTTTATCTTCTACTTGCAACTAACACCTTGTCCTTTTTGTACATGTACTTTTAATGTGTGTTCTATGACCAAATTTATTGAGTTCTTCCATACGTGGATCCATGAACTATTCATATCTTCAGATAATATAAATACATGCTCTATGATGTAATTCACTCATCTGTTTGATTTTCCAGGCTATGCGAGTTATTATCAATGACAAAAGATATGGTGCTCTGAAAACACTTGGAGAGCGCAAGCAGGCTTTTAATGAGGCAAGTACTTTCACAAAATATCTTTTTTGAGCGTTTGCATTTATTCATGAGCACATTGAATCAGGTGTAGAGCCTTCAATCATTGCGGCTAACTGTACGTTCTACTCACGCCATGTGTTACCCTAAAGTTTCGCTTAAGTATGTGCTGTTGCTCCTGTAGAACTGTTTGTATTGTCTCCTAAAGCAACATATGTAGATGTTATTCGTCAACCATATCATCTAGAATATTTTTTAAAGTGATAAACGATCATCTTGGTCATTAATGATTAGTGCCTCCGCATGCTCGTGCAGTATCTAGCTCATCGGAAAAAACAGGAGAGTGAAGAGAAACGTGCGAAGCAAAAAATTGCAAGAGAACAATTTCGTGCAATGCTGGAGGTATCTTTTCTATGCCCAGTCTATCCTTCACCTTATAAGATCTTTGTGCAGGGAAAATTTTATCAGCTAATTAATAAGCAAACAATGACTGTTCAATCTGATTGGTAATTAATTAGCAAACAATACCGTGTATTTTGTCAGGAATCTAAGGACTTGACATCATCTATGCGGTGGAGGTATGTCTTCTATTATGTATGTTTAGATTTGAAGTAGATTTTATTCCTGGTTGAACATGTTTTGATAACCCTGCTCTTTTATCTGGATGCAATTTTGCCGTTTGGGGTTTATTTGTGAAGATTTGAACGGAGTTGAAAGCTACGTATCGATCTCTATTTTGCTTTGGTTGATCCTTCATATTGCAGCAAAGCTTTTTCAATCTTTGAAGATGATCCGCGGTTTCTAGCCGTTGAGAGGGACCGGGAGCGGGAGGAGCTTTACGAAGATTACATGGTGGACTTAGAGCGCAAGGTATATTTTTTAAAGTTGGTTAAGCAAGACTATTTAGTAGTTGTTCACGATCAGGTGACATAAATTAGGAATCAACAGATTTAGTACAATGCTGGATGGTCATGTGTTGCTATCAAACCAAATTATATTCTACGTAAATTCACTCTAACAAAAGCTTGGTTTTGGTACTTGTCAGGAGCGTGAGAAGGCCCGGGAGGAAAGAAAGAAGTACATAGCTGAGTACAGAAGCTACCTAGAAAACTGTGGCTTCATTAAGGTGCATATGTGTGCTCTTGATTTCCCTCTAAGGTCATTTGTAAACAGTTCGAGTCTTATATCTTAGTTTTAAATGTTGGTAAATGAAAGCTAATATCATCCTGTTGGAAAATGAATAGGCAACCACTCAATGGAGAAAGGTGCAAGATCGTCTTGAGGATGATGAGCGCTGCTCTCGGTTAGACAAATTGGATCGATTGGAGGTTTTCCAGGTGTTTACCTTGCAGCATATTATTCAATAACCATGATATTGCATGTACTCGGGTAGTTGCTGTACTGTGCGCTAGTTTTATTAGATTTTTCTGTATGGAGTGAAATTTCTAAAGAATGGACAATTCGATTGGGAATATTTTTCTAATTACAATTTGAGTATATGCTGGCAGGAATACATTCGAGATCTTGAGAAGGAAGAAGATGAAGCGAAGAGATTACAAAAGGTTCTACCCTGGACTTATACCAGAGAACTAGGTCATAACATCGTTTGTGACCGAACTTGAATTGATGTGAATTTCTGAGTTCAGTTATCCGTACATTCTTGAAATGTTTTGGTCTTTCTTTTCATATTGTCAGGATCAACTGCGTCGCAAAGAGCGAAAACATCGTGATGAATTCAGAAAGTTGATGGATGAGCACAAGGCAGCGGGGATTCTTACTGCAAAGACTGTGTGGCGAGATTACTTGACGAAGGTGCTGTGATTAGAACAATTATACCATCATGCCCATGTATCTTTGCGTTGGATATTTTGAAACGTGTACTCCCCTTTGTTCAAGTGATTTATGTATAGTCTCGGCATGAAGTTTAGGATACTCATTTGGAATTTCTATTTGAAATTTTTTCACGGAGCAGCTTCCTTAAAGCACTGCACATGCAATGGATACGAACATTTTGTGTCTACGAGTAGAACTGTTTTCATGAACTTAATTTGAGGATAATTCAACTTGAAAGAATCGATTTTCAATTCCATGAGCGTTCTGTATACTCCGTTAAACTTTGCTATCGACTTTTTCAGTTCTGAAGGACTTGAAACGGATTTTTTTACTTTCAAATCAACTTATTTTAAAGATCAAAAGAAATGAATGTCAGTTTCTTTGGGTTTTTGTTCTCACGAAATTGCTTTGTAATTGCACAGGTGAAGGACAACAGTGCTTATCAAGCTGTAGCCTCAAATACTTCTGGCACCACTCCCAAAGAGTTGTTTGAGGATGTCGTTGAAGAGCTTGTTAAGCAGGTATTGTGGTCTGGTGAATGGAGTAAGAAGTGCATTCGCGTTTGCTTATGATTTTATTTTACGCTTGGAATGTTCCAAGCGTTAAGTTTCTTACATCCTTATCAACATTTACTGCGGAATTTCGCTTAGTACAATGTATGGTGTGATCTATGCGATACAAGCAAGAAGCATAAGTACATTTGAATCTGTTGTGATTTCATATATGTCGCAAGCTCAATTTGAAATCGAAGCATTTTAAAACAATTTTGGAGCATGGATTTTGTCCATGTGGGAAGGAAATTCGAGATCCGTATCAGAATATTGAATCTGAGAGTTCTTACAGCTGCAGCATATCATTAACATATCTTAGTGGTTCTAAATGTGAACATTCCCATTCTGTACTTCAGAGTAGGTACTTGTTATTACTTCTTTTACTTACGATTAGATTCGTATGGTGCAGTATCACGACGACAAGGCGAGGGTTAAGGACGTCATGAAAGCTGGAAAGGTATGAGTTTATTTTATCAAATCTTCTTTTTGAGTCCATGACTAGTTGATACTCATGTATAGCATTTTCGCGGGAGATGATTTTTAAAAATTTATTTTTTCCGTTGAAGCCTCTGAACGTTTTATATTTGCCATATCCGTTTCGAACTTAGTATTCGTCTTTTTGTAAATCGCATGTATAATTGTTAACATCGTTAGCTCCTTCTTTTCAACCTAGAACCACATGCTGAGGATTGTGAGAAATGAATGTTGGTATACAGATAAGCGTGGGAGGAACATGGACGTTCGACAAATTCAAGGCTGCATATGCTGAAGCAGGTGACTTGGCGGCGATAGCTGTACCAAACCTTAAGGTTAGTGACAACTTTATGTATTTGTGGTTAGAGTAATTGCCCTTTGCTATACACCAGAATTGTGGTGTGTACCAAAGGTGGCATCCAATCCGTATAGAAAATTACTGCTGGAGCGGTATTGTGCGGTGTTTTGGCTACCTCCATCTTGAGTGCGGATGCTGACCAGTTCTGGCTTCAAAAGGTATACTATGGTGGGTATCTGGCTCTTAAGTTCTTTTTCCCCTGTACCCCTCATGTGGATATCATGCCTTGGTCTATGTGGTTCTACGAGATGGCCTGTTATCATAGGAAATTTCTTCTTCTAAAACGTTGCTTTCAATTTAGTGAAGGAATTGACTGAAGAGTAGTTTGATAGGTTTGAAGACATGTTTACGTGAATGCTCATGGAAGTAGTATATTATTTACGTTGACGTAATGCTTTCAAGTCCTGTAGATTGTGTGTAGTTTATGGTTGTTTGATGATGTGTTCAGTTATTTTTGCTCCGGCACTTATCCGTAGACAAGGACGAGAGAGAGAGAGCGAGAGAGAGAGAGAGAGAGAGGTTGAATTATTTTAAGGGTCTTCATCGTGAGGTTCCAAGATAAGCATGTGAAATGAACTTTGATGCCGTCAATCTTTTTGATGTGACTCTTTTTGATGCTGTAAAAACTAGTCTAAGTTCATTTGGATGCATGAAGGCTAACATGCTGTGATCTGTACTTGGGGGTTTCGACTTGGGTTCAGCTTGTTTTTGAGGATTATGTTGAGAGAGCTAAGGAGAAGGAGGAGAAAGAAGCTAAGAAACGGCGTAGGATGGCGGACGATTTCACAAATTTGTTGCGGTCTACCAAGGTATGTGCGTATTAATGAAGAATATTACAGTTGGTTGATCCTAATGTGCTGAACAAGACCGACCTTTTTTTGTTTAGATACAAAGCACTCATGTTACACAAGAAAGAGTCGCTGATTTCTGTTTTGGAGGGGTGGACTACCCTATTCAATCTTTATTTATTTATTTATTTATTTATTTTATTTTTTTTATCAGTCGCCCTGTAGTGACCTATCATATCTGCACATATGCAGGCTGTGACATTATCATCAAAATGGGAAGACGTAAGGCCTCTCATAGAAGACTCTCAAGAATATAGGTGAAATCCTTTGCCTACACTTACTTACAAAGACTCTTTGGAGTTTGTCTCTGTTAGCTGACTTGGGTTCTCATTTTCGATATTCAGGGCTCTGCCGGATGATGGACAGCGCAAGAAATTATTTGAGGATTATGTAATACACTTGGTTCGTAAAGCCAAGGAGAAGGATAAGAAAAGAGAAAAGGAAGAAAAGGTCGGTTTGATTTCACGTCATTTTCACGATTTATCATGTGTCTTTGTGACACTTCAAAGTGTTCGTAAAGGACATTCTTGTGCTGAGTGTGAGAAACGTTTCTTGTTGCGATTTTATTAATGCAGCGGTCTAGTTCTTATTTCTTCAGATCTATTCTTTTAATTGTTTTCTCCATCTTGTTCGCAATGAGGGGCTTCACAAATTGTTAACCAACTGCAGGTCAAGAAGGAGAAGGAGAAGGAGAAAGAAAAAGAGAAGGAAAAGGAGAAAGACAAAGACAAAGACAAAGACAGAGAAAAGAGGAAAGAGAAAGAGAAAGAGAAAGAAAAGGAAAAGGAAAAGGAAAAGGAAAAGTCTAGTCATGAAAAGATTAGCTTACATGTTGACGAGATGGAAGGAGTGACGAATCATTCATCTCACAAGGATGAGAGGAGAAAGGACAAAGATCGTGATAAGGATAAGGAACGTGAAAAGAAGCACAGAAAAAGACATCGAAGTGTAAGCAGCGAAGAGATAGCGACTGATAAAGATCGTGATGAGAAAGACAGTTCCAGGAAATCACGCCGCCATGGTAGTGATCATAAAAAATCCTCAAGAAAGGTAGATATGTTTGATTGTAAGTGTCTATATGACATAAATCTACGCCCATCTTGGAGTCAAAAGTTTAGCAGATTTATATCTAATGCTTTATTAATCACCATGAGGTAGCGCCTGAGATAGTTCATCTTGTTTAGTACTAATCCTACCCCAATCACGTTTCGTGGATAGTAATTTTCATCAACATAGTACTTATGATTGGATTAGGTTTCTACACTTGTCAATTAACATGGTAGTAACGTCACATAGATTGTTTTCTATCTGGGTTTTTTAATTCAAGTAGCATACTTCCATTGGATTTCTATAGCTGAGATTAATTATTTTAGATCTGGTTACAAGCTAAACGCATGAATTCAAAATGCCGTTTCTAAATATTTTCAATGTTGGGTTCTCGAATGATAGTCTAGCTCAGTTTGTCTCGTATACTTGTTTGAAACAAACAAAAATATATTTCAAACAGTTTGACTATTTGTTAGGGCGGGACGGATGTTGTTACTTGGTTCAGTATAATTAAGCTCTTTTAGGAACTGAGGACTATTCTACCTGTTTTGTGCAGCATGAATCAGAATCTGAAGGAGATACAAAGCAGAAGCGACACAGGCGGGATGGTGGGAGGAGAAATGGAGGACCTGACGAGTTGGAGGATGGAGAACTTGGCGAGGATGGCGAAATTCAATAGACCCTACGTCAGTATGATTGTGTATTTTCTTGAGCCCCTGCCTTAGAACTGTTGGGTAATCACTATTGGTGGTCCAAGAGAAGCTGTAATGAACTGTTGCTTGCTCCCCTCTTTTTCTGCTTGCTTGGGAGTTCAATGTTTTGCAACATTCTCAAAGTTTTCATGTACATCTTTGGCCCATTGAATTCTGAAGACTTACTCAACTTTGCATCTGGACTCGATGTTTCATACCTTGACCGTTGATGTAGACAGATATTAGTATCTTATCTAAGGGAGTAGTCGAAAACTTTTCTGAAAATTTATGTCTCGCACACATTGAACAAACGTTTACTTTAAAGACCTGTTAAAAGTGTTGATTTATCTATCTCCATCTTTTTGTGAGTCACTCGTGATTGCCATAGGGGGTGAAGATGAACACGTGCAGCTCATAAGTGAAGTATCTTCTTATCTGCATATTGGACGTGGCACTGGAATTGTGGCTATTTCTGATAGTTCTATTTCTAGTTTGCTAGTTTACCTGCATAAAGTCTTGTCTACGCTCTTAGATGCGAGTTGAACGCTTTGCATCGTTATATTTGATATTTGTTTGCTTACGATTTAGTTCCTGGTTTTACTTGTGTATGTCCAGTAATCGGCCTTGAAGAGGTGAGTAGAAATTGTCTTTTCTCATTGCTATGTATTGGCAGAGGAGTATGAGCATTTAAATTTTAAGTTTTTGGTTAGTTCGCAGTTAGTCCATCTGTGATTTTCAATTGCAGGGTACAGATGATATCAATTGATTGTGTTGTAAAATTCCTGAGAAGTCACAGATGGCTATTTGACATCATTCTAATTAGAAGTAGTTCATCTCTAGTTTTATTTGCTACTGATACTTGGAAGAACAGAAACATAGTTCCGGCTCAAATCGAATGGAGCTTGACGGTGTACTAAGGTGCCATTTGACGTCAGACAGTCACTCCTAATGTTAGCCTCACCTTAACAGGAGGCGAGCTCCCTTGCTAGGTTTGATCTTTTGATGTTTATTTAAGTTGCCATTCTATTGGAATTCTGTTTTACATGAGATAGTGTATATTTCTGTCCTTATATTTATATGCTAGTGGAAGCACTTGATATTTTATCAGTAGGTCGTATCAAATTGATTTCTCGTCTACAAATTGTGAGGTTTGTGTGGTAACATTCCTTTGACAATGATGATTTTGGACTTTATTCCAGCCGAGTTAACATTTAAGTTCATCCTACATTAAAGTTTCTATTGTAATGGGTAAGTTGATATTATAGCAATGATAATTGAACTATCAGTATGCAAGTGTCTCACAGATTTTGGTAAGATAGTGTAGATATTGGTCTTTTTACGTTGCAGGAGCCTTTTTGGAGAATCATCATAGCATTAAGGAATCTAGTGGCATATGTTATATATACTGTACGATTGTGCAACTTGTCAACGTTGTGATGTTGACTGTTATATCTGATGTGTCACGTGTGTAAATTTTGGATGGTGTATTTCGAGGACTTTTCCAATTGTAAAATACGTTGGGTGTGACTTTTTGCATGTTAAGAAGTGGTTATTTGCCCTGTTAACCATGATGACTGCCGCTTAGTCTAACTGTAATTGTACACACTTTGCATAGTGTACGTATACCTTTTGTTCTTATAATTTATTTAATCCTTCATACCTCTTCTGTACAGCCCTATGACATTTTGCATTGAGGTGTTCATTGCGCAGCTGCATACCTTGGTATACGTAATGTAAACTTTCAAATGCATTGCGAAACTGGTAATTTAGATTGTCATTTAGATTAAGATTCGTAGATTTATCATTATCTGTATGAACTATTGGTTTGAGGGCTAGATTACTACTGCAGCGCTATACCATCTTCACAACGTGGTTGGGGTGGACACCAACGGTATGTAGATTTTAAATCATGACTACAAACATTCTCCCCAATGGCACCTCATGTAATCCATGCATTCAGCATGGAGCGCCAAGACAGAAGCCAGTGGGTGAGAATGGACATATGCCTTCTGTGATAAAAAAATAAAAAGTATATATACATATATATATATATATATATATATAAACGAGCTTTTCACCTCCTATGCATGAGTAAACAAGACAAACACAACATCAAAATAATGCAGCAGTATATCACTACCCACAATATATCAACAAAGCTAGGAGGTACAAATGATTGACAATAGCATTACTTGCACAAGGTAGCACATAGGCCCCACTTTGGTGCAGACACACCAATTGGCCAGAGGGGCTGAGCTATTTGATTACAATCATAAGCAATCTATGTACTAGATTGCTAACTTGGAAGGGGAGATTGAAGTGACACTTTTCTTCCCTTCCAACCCTAGATAGACTTGACCTAAACTCTAGACTTGTCCTTAACTCCAAACTCAACTAGATCAAAGAGACATCTTTTTCATAAGAGATAAGATTTTAAATTCTAACTTAGAATCTAAGGTCTAATAAGACATTGTAATAAGCTTTTATTGCAGTTGGTTTTTAAATTATTTTTTTATTAGTTAATATTCCAATAATTCTATTATATTTTTAGATGCCATTAAACATAATCTACGTAAGATCATAAATTGAACTATATCATTTATTCTTGCATTACAACTTAAGATTAATTTGCAAAAACTAAGTGCCACCTAATACCTTGGAATCTCCAAATAGAACAAGTAGAATTTTTTTAGAATAATAAGTAAGCTCTTTAAAATATTTTTTTGGAATTTATTTTAAATTCTAAATAATAAATAACTTTTTGATATAAATAAGATATAAAAAACTAAACTTTAAGTATTTTACTAGATTAAAATTTAATAGGATTTTTTAATTTATCAACTATATTATTTTAAAATTTGTTGTATATTTTTATTATAGTTTAGAATAGTTTCTTTAAATCCATGAATGATATTTGTAGCCTTCTAAAAAAATCTTTATGGATTAAAAATAAAACCAATATATTAAGTTTTTAAGATAGTCAAAGATGTCAAGTTATCAAATTCTTTTAGCAATGATGTCAAGATTGAGCACTCTTATATGGACAAGATAATCAAATATGTGAGGTTGTTCAATTGAGTTGGCAATGATGACAAGCTTAAGTAATTTAATATGTTGAAGGTAGTCAAAGATGCAAGGTTGCCTAATTTATTTGACAATGATGTCAAACTTGACTATTCCCACATATATAAGATAGTCAAAGATGTGAAGTTACCCAATTCATTTGGCAATAATGTCAAGCTTGACCATCTCTATATAGATTAGGTAGTCAAAGATGTGAGGTTGTCTAATTCATTTCGTAACAATCTCAAGTTTAAGTATCTCCATATCTTTAAGGTAGTCAAAGATTTGAGATTGTCCAATTCATTTGGCAATGATATCAAACTTGAGCACCGTCTAATATTAAAGGTAGTCAAAGATGTGAGATTGCCTAATTTATTTGGCAATAATATCAAGCTTGTGCACTACTCTATATTTAAGGTAGTAAAAGATGTGATACTCAACCTAACACTTTTTATATATGTAAATATGTATGTTTGTGATACAATATTAACGCTTATAGTTTTTACTACCTTCCTATATTTTACCTATGCTTTGCTACTATATCTTTCAATTAGGCTCTTCTATAATAGAATCCATATTCTTATCCTTCATCATATAGTTGTATTACAATACAATACTGCAATAACATAAACCCATGACTTAACATTTTATTGTGTTGTCTGTAAGGCTTGCATTCCTTCAAACAAGATTGAAAAAAAATTCTTTAATCCAATTTAAACAACTAACAAATTGAACCATTGCAAAAATCAATAGAGTCGATTTACTAAAATGATCAAACTTCACTCCTTACAAACTTTCAAAATTCATATTCAAAACATACAACTTGCATTTGAGTCACTTTTGTAGGATTATATGTTTCATTATATGTAAAATTGAGGACTTTGAATGTGAAAAAATATTTGCATTTAGCAACACTTGAAATATATGACTATAGCCTAAGCACTATAAAATCCACCACTTTTGAGTACCTTTTATATATTTGTATATTAATCAAAGAATCAAAATTTAATTCCAAAAATATAAAAAAGAACATAGATATTAGATATTATAGTTCAATAAAATTATAAACAAAAGATTGAAATAAGAAAGAGCTAGAGGAGATGAAAAAGAAGAAGAAGGAAAACCATCAATGTACGAGTGAAAGTCCATATACAACACTAACCTCAAAGTAAAGATACTTAGATTGTTACAACCAAGGCAAATCTATAGTATACTATTAGAGAGTGAGATTTAATTTAATGAAAAGATAAAATGTAAATAGCTAAGTAATAATTATTGTTAATGTGATTTTGATTAGATTCTATGATTAAATTTTGAAATAAATATATTTCTTTCTAACATATGATCCTTCTTTACATTGTAATTATGTAGAATTACACTAAATATATTTGAATGTGTCCTTCATATTTGTAATTTATTAGAAATGTTTAGTGATTAAAATTATATTGAGGTATTTTTGCAATAAATTATTTCTAGTACCAAATTGATTTTATGTACTTATTTTTGTATAATAACTATGTGAAATTATAGTCATAAAAAAATTGAATTACTTAAATTAATTATTAGTTTTTTTCTATGAAAAATCTATAACTTATATGAGATTTAATTGCTTGAAATTTAATAGGTTTTATAACATTTTATTTGCATTAAAAAGACTTCTATAATTTCCATATAAAAATATTAAGACAATATTTCTTATGGATTATTAAAATGTAAAATGATGATTTATATTAAAAAAATAGATATTAAAATATAGGTATAATATTTTATTACAAATAAAGATTTTGAAATGTAAATTCATTCTTATTTCATGTATAATGCATTTTAACTATGTATTTTAAGAATATATCTTAAAAAATAATTATCAATAATTTAGAATAAATAGATGTAAAAGAATAGATGTGATATTTGCTACATGTTTTAAATTTAAGATGGTTTTTAAAAGTAAAATATTATAGATATTACAAATCTATATTTTATAAGAATTTAATTTAGAATTTTGATTCTTTATGAATTATATTCACAAATTTTATAATTATACTTTAAATTTAAAAATCTAAATACAATAAGTACCAAATTCTAAAGTATAAATGGAATATCCAATAATTCTTAATAAAAAATAAATTAAAAACTTAATTATTGGAAGTTTAAAGATATATTATTATTTTTCAAAAAATAAATAGATTTTTTTTTTGATTTTTTTAATGAATTATTTATTAAATGAAACATATATGGTGCCACAAGAAACAATTATTCCTAGAATAAAAAAAAACAAGGAAAAAATACAA